GAGATAAACATTGTAATTTTTGAAGTGTTTTCATCACGTCAACGTTCGCGTTTGTAAAAAAAAAATAGCCATTGGTGATGAATGAAAGTTTCCCGGCAGAGCTCACTAGTGTTTCCTTTTGTGGGACAACTCCTGATATGTACATGAAGCGGGTCCTAGAAGAGAGGTGGTTAGCAAAGATTCCAACGACTTGCTTTGCTTGAAATGTCTGAACTCTATTGTGGACTTGTCACTATAACATTATTATTGCCTTTTGTATTCAATGTTGTTCTTAATACTTTAAACTCCAGATAATAAGCCGTGGATTGAAATGGACCTCAAAACGGTTTTAAGTAAAGCTTGTCGGTTAATCTTTTTGACGTGATTTCCTTCAGTCTTAGTGTGAAGTAAATTTATCCTGACAAAGGTAGAAATGGAAATGTGATGGGGAGATGGAGGTTGTTAATTGCGTTAGCTGAAAGCAGATAAACTAAACATTACAGTTTACAAACGTTACAATTCAGGACAAAAGCAGAGTTCCATTTGTTTTGCGTCAAATTTCGCGCAATTACTAATATGGTATTCTAAGCTACGAACATTAGCTGGGGGCCAGAGAGAGAGAGAGAGAGATTGATTTTTCTGGCAAAATATCTTGCGTGAACTCTTTCTCCAAAGCAGCTATTAATCATGAAAAGAAAACAAAGCTTTTGAAAATTAATCTTGAGTCTTATACGCCCCTGTTGTCTGCTGTTCGGAGTTCATATTTGTTTGTAAAAGGGGTTAACAAGCTGATGAGATCGAAACTCGAGATGAGTAAGTGATACAGGGAGCTGATAACTTAGTAAAAACAAACAAGCTCTTCCTATTTTCAGTTGATCGTCTTTTGTGCATCGATCACCATACAAATGTGTCGGCGACATTGAAAAATATTCACATGCAGAGAGAGCTTAATTTGACTGGATTACAGTCAAGGAGAGAGTCACTTTATACTCAGGCGGAAATGTGGACATAATCTTGGCCCGATGGATTTCGTGGAAAAGTGTGACTGGCTCTGAGGGAAAAACATGAATCGATTACACAACCAATTCGCAAGAAATTCCGGGGGAATTTGAATTCTGAATTCTGTTAGGCTGAGTTCTTTTTGTTATACCAACAAGCCCCTCCAAACTTGCCTGAATCACTCACGTTTGAGTTTACGCAATGTACTAGGCCAAACGGAATTGTACCTTGACTACATCCCTTTCAAGGTTTAAAAACTCCTAAGCTTTTAAAGCCTTAGTTTTGCCCAATCGTGTTCAACGATTAGCGAGAATACTGGAAACTAGTATCCAAGTAGCTAGACCCAGTTCCCACTTTCGTACTTTCCCCAGTCTTAGTTAAACCCTCTCCCTGGGAATGAGACTCTGCCCAGTCTTGTTAGATATATAGCAACTTTTGACAGAAAGACTGGAACCAAACAGAGGAGAAACTAGTCCCAGTTTCCCTGTTTTTGATTCGGACCCGGACAATCTGAGCTAAAACTAAATAAACTGCAAAGCCGTGGACGAAGATCCTGCTTGATTGAACGTCGGATCTCACAGGAGATCTAATCAACCAAACTTGAAAAGTAAAAGAGGTGATGAGAAGTCAAAGACTACTGTAAGGCTGATACAACGTGGTATATTTGAAACAATATTTCGGCTGGCCAGACCAGCCTTCTTCAGGTTTAAATGTTACTAAATTATAAAAATGAAATTACAATATTATATAGCGGTGGGTGTAAAATAAAGTAAGGATAAAACGGGTCTACGTAGGTTACAAGTTTTACGATTCATCACGTCTATTCATACCGTGGGGTTCCAATGTTCCTGCTAAATCTAGTAAAAAGGAGTCTCTGGCTTTTCTGATTGAATCACGTGAGGAGTGGATAAATTCAAGTGGAATTAGTTGGCTGTCAGTGTAGCGATGATTAGGATGAGAAACAAAATGTTCGGCAATAGTGTGGGTTTGGATTTAATGTTAGTTTTGTCGACAGAGCGTCTATGTTCATGGAATCTGTCTTTAAGACGTCGCATAGTTCCTCCTACGTATTGTAAATGGCAGCGGTTACACTGTATAAAGAGATTATCAAGGTAAGAGAGTGAATCCCCCATATAGGTCCTCTACCTAAGGTAATCCCCCTTAAGTTATTTTTAGACATGGTACCCAGTTCTTCCGAGGATGTTACTCGCGCGATGCCTGGACATCCGAAGCGACTACCTCGAAATTAAGTGAAATGGCGGGAACGTCATTTTATATGTTTTGATTTCGTTTCATAGCAGAGATGTCGGTTCTGCACTCTTGGCCGTCTTTTTGTTCGGCCAGGCTTTCGTTTGTTTTGTGCTCGTTTGGCTGTTCATTATTTGGCCGTTCATTCGGTATTAGGGAGTTTAATCAAGCAAACTTTGACGGCAACGGCAACGAGTACAATGTGGTTGTGTAAGCGTGCGTTATAATTCTTTTTTCATTTCTTTGCCGTTGGTTACAAAAGGTCACAAAACAACAACGTGAAATAGCCATTTGCAAGTGACCTATACGAAGGCCAATTTTTGAAATTTCTCTTTGAAATTTGACGTAGTCTTACATATTTCTGACAGTATAGACAAACTGAATGAATCTAAATTCTCGCGAGATTCGTAGGCTGAATATTAAGTCGTTTTTCAATCGACGTTGTCTTTGGCGCTGTTGCCGTTGATGCTTGAACTGCTTTTTGCTACTTGGGCAGCGAACACCTGCCTCTACTTTCGACCATCCGTTTGTTCGGTCGCCTGGCTTGTGTTTAAGCGTTTGTTTGCTTTGCACTCGTTTGTCTAAACATTTCTCTGCCGTTCGTTCAGTTGCTATTATTTGTGCAGGGGACATTCGTCTCTTATTTAAACTCCTATTAAAGTTTCGAAATGTCTTAAAACATACCTAGAGCCCAAGCTCCTTCGCTTGCAATCAAAATATCAAAGAAGACATCCTCATAGCGTTGGATGGTTTCCTTTCCTTTGAAACGAAACGAAAGGAAACGACACAAACAGATCCTCCACGAAAACATTTACGCAAAGCGCGAGTAATATCCGCGGAAGAACTGGGTACAATGTCTAAAAATAACTCAAGAGGGATTACCTTGGAATTAAGGCCTATATGGGGGAATCACTCTCTTACCTTGACAACCTCTTGACTGTATCATGTAAATTAAATTTTTGCTGTTACAGGTTATATTTGAAGTAATGTGACGGGTTGCACCTGTGGAGAAGAAATTGTATTGCCGTGTAGGACCGTTAGTAATGTAAGGACAAGTAGCGCAATCTTGTCCACAGCGAAATAAGCCCGGTGGTAAACTAGTGTTATTAGGAGTCGTGACAGTGGGTAGTTTATCTTAAACTAAAATGTCGCGAGGGTTAGAAGTGCGTCTGTAGGCGACGATGGGTGGGCGTTTAAAAACTTCCCTGCAGCGGTTGGAGGAAAGTAATATGTTAAAATGCTTACGTAGGATATTAGAAATGTGAGGAAGTGATGGTTATATGTAACAACAAAAGGTAAGTGGTTAATTGAATCGTGACGGTTAGAATTTAAAGCATCAATGCGAAAAACATGAGCAGCTCGTTTGATTTGTGAGCCAAGGGATCGGAAGTGTTACCATAACCTCGTGGGAGGAGATGTGTTCTTTATAATTCATTAAGGCGCAGCGTGAATTTAGCGTCCGAGCAGAGCAAATACGGGGGATGCGAAGAGCTAAGCTAAATGGGATAGTCTTTTTGGTGTGTTGAAGATGGCATGATGAACTAAGAAGGTGTTGGTGTTTGGTGTACAGGTCAGTTTCTATAGTGCCGTCATATATAGAGATACCATGATGTCGAGGAACGGGACATTGGTTAATGAGTGATTACTAGTGAACAGTGGGATTAACATTGTTGAGATAATCGACGAATGAATGAATGAATGAATGAATGAATGTTTTATTATGACGTGGATATAAGCTTAGCTTGAGAGCTAGTTTACAGGTATTCCACCTAATAACTAATGAAACAACGCCAATATCACAATTCATCAGGTAAAAATCACAAATTAAATACTGATTAAAACTATTCAAAACTATTATTACAATATTACCGCCGCAGTCAAAATACTATTAAAACTAATGTCACAAATTTACTAATCCCCAAAATTTAGCGATCTAATTCTGTTTACTATTTCATTGGTACCTACTTTTATTCTAACGTCATTTGATAGTTCATTCCATTTTCAAATGATTTAGTCCTTCAGTCCAGATTATGAAAATATCATCGAGACATCTCCACTAAGTGTAAGGATGAAAGAGAGCACTAGAGAGGGCGTTAGTTTCGAAAATGCCGAGAGGAAGAGATTAGCATATGATGAAGCCATCTTATTACCCATAGCGGTGCCATGGATCTGAAGCCGGATAGTGGGGTTGGTTAATTGTAAAGTTATTCATGGTCAGTATAATACGTAAGAGATCACAAAGTGTCTCCGTAGGACTGTGTTTGTCAGTACGAGTATCAAGGAAACGACGGCAAGCATCAATTCCTTCGTTGCGTGGGATGTTGCGGAGTACAATGATGAAACGTCGAGAGTGACAAGTATGGCGTCACTAGGTAGAGCAGCGAGGTTAGAGAGTTTGTTAAGGAAGTCAGTTGTGTCTTTAATGTGTGAATCCAAGGAAGAGACGAGAGGGTTAATGCGATAGTCGACGAATTGTCAGATGCATCCTGTAGGCTGGCCTTTAGATGAAACCAAGAGAAAATGATGAAACTAATGGCCGTCCCGAGTTGCCGGTTTTGTGTATTTAATTTACGTAAAATGTAAAAACGTCCAGGTTTAACGTTAGTTTGTATAAGGTATTGTTTAGTCTTTTCGTCAATGCAGGCGTCTTTTAACCTAAGTTGTACGTAAGTAATAACTCGTTGAATTTGGTTTGTTATGTCTTCGTCTTGTTTTAGTCTGAGCAAGGTCTTTGCACCCTTATCCGGTTTTCATTTTTCATTTTTTGTTTTCAGCCAACGAGGGGCCAGTGGCAGAAAGTATTCTACATATCTGCCGGTCTGTACGTAGTTGGTTGGATCACTTATCTACTCCTCGGAAGTGGAAAACAACAGTCATGGAATACGCCATTTGAAGACCTGCTGGTACCGGTTGACATTCCGAGAGAGCCAAGAATACCAGTTTTGGCGGACACTCTGTTGATTAGCAATCAACCCACAGATTTGTCACAATCTGGAGCGAAATGCTGAGGATAAAAAAGTCATAGGCGTATGGACTCCTTCGGACTAGGAGGGGGGGAGGAGGGAGGTGGGAGTGAATGTGGGAGGGAATGTGTGAGTGTTGAAATCAGGATGCAAACGTACTCAAATTACATGAAAAACTCTGGGAATTCTGGGATTAGGAAAAATATGGGAGAATAGTCAATTTATTTTTGAAATTGGGGATATCTCGTGTTGAACGATATCTATGCTATGTAGTGTATGATTACGAGAGGCTTTTCTTTCCTTTCAACGAGTTTCGTGTCCAGTGTTCGACAGTGTTCGGAATAGAAAGAGCGGTTTTCCATTTCGCACCGAATGTTCTCGCAAATAAAATTAAAATAATCCGCAAAAATTACAACCCGAGAAAAATTTTGTGTTGCACTGCACTCTTCAGGTTGCCGTTCTACAAGTACGATGGACTTGCCCACAAGTTGAGATGTGAAAGCCAAGCTCAGAGCGAGGAAAATGTCTGTGCTGCTCAAAAGCGAAGGCACCCTGCTCCACGCTCTCTATATTTCGAGTGGATACTCCACCCCAACCCCTGCGCGGTGAGCCATTTCCCACAACCCTAAATTGGGCAGCTAGTTTCCAGGTTATGCCGCGGATTTTAAAAAAGTCTCGTGACTTTCGAGACTTCACAGTACGTAAAAATTCCTCGAATTTTCCTCAGTTTGCCAATGGAGGAAGGCGTACCTTTAGTCGATAAACGCACATCCAAGTCTCGTCAGGAGTCAGGTTGCTATTTGCCTTGTCGATATGCGCTGGCGATTTTGTCTTGTGCTGGGTTTTGTGTTGTGTACATGTTGAGAGTGAATTTGAGTGTAGCGTTGGTTGCAATGGTTAACTCGACTTATGCCAATGCCAAAGCTTCTGCACATGATCCGGAATGCCAAAGAAATACATCTAAATCATCTTTAGAAAAGGTAAGCTCGCTGGTTCTTGTCTTTCCTTGAAAAATGGCTCTTTTAGCTTTCATTTTGCCATTACCATACAAGACTTATTATCGAGAAGCTTCACTTTTTAACCGGAAATAAGGCAACAACAACAACAACAATTTATTGGTATTCCCATATAGATGGTGTTACCTAAATGCAGAATCGCTAAATAAAAATTCAAAAACGAAACAAATTACAA